CGGGTATTGGGTTTGATTTTGGTAAAAATAAGGGGCAGGAGTTTGTAGTTGAGAAAAATGAGGGTTAAAAGTTTGTTGTTCAGGATAATGGGGATGGGTGTTTGATGTTGGGAAAAGTGAGGAGTTTGTTGTTGGAAGGATTGGGGATGAGGAGGTTGAAAATATTGTGAGTGGTGAGGTTGTTGAGAGCCACTGGCCTGAGTAGGGGCATATTGATTTTGACGAGGGTCAGTGAGAAATTGTTCATACTATGCATATCTATGTGGAAGCGAGTGATACCATTGCATGTACTTATTTGATGGTTTCTCCTCTGTTTGTAATTGATCTCCATCCAACGTAAACAATTCTCGATGCAACCAACAGTTTTGTTCATCATAGTATAATGTGGTATATGTTTTTTGGCGTGCTTTTATTGTTGTCATCTTATGGTGTTCAGCCAGGCATCGAGGTTCTTCAGGTATCCTTGTAAATGGCCAAATTGTAGTTTGACCCTATCTGCTTGATGCATTTCTACAATATGAAAACATATTATATACGTAGTTGAACTCCATATCAAACTGTCCTCGTGACTTTGGGGCGCTAATCCAAGAAAAAAAACCTGATCTTGAAGCATGTGATCAAAATTTAAAATTAAATTTTATTTTAAAGTATCCTAACAAATTTAATTATAATTTTAAATTTAAATTAAAATATTAACTTCTTGCGTAAGGATATGGAGCTTGAAGCGGAGCCACCGGAGATATTATAGGCATGCGTGTAAAAGCCCAAGCTTGAAGAAGTAAAACGCATTCTGACATCTCTGTTACTTTTATGTCTACAGACTTGCACATTTCCCTATATAGATTGGCTAAAACGGCGGAACCCTAACTCAATTTTCCACAATCTTCCAAATCCACAACAAATTATGTCCATTTTGAGTGTATAGTATTACCGTTTTTGTTAGGAAACAAAACTTGCCCGATAAGGAGTAAGATATAAATACGAGCATGTTTAATTTTATACTCCTCATGGTACATGTCTTTAAGCCATGTCAACCTCGCAGTCATTCCCTTATCACTTTGTGGTGGTTCATCCTCTAAAATAGAACTCCATGCACCACCACCTAGCTCGGATGGACCATTTACCGCTTTACCATCTACATGAAGCCCCAATAACATACTCACATCTTCCAATGTGTGAATTCACCGTTTGGAAGATGAAATGTATGAGTTTCGGGTTTCCACCGTTCCAGTAAGGATATAATTAACCTTGAATCGATGTGTGTGGACCCTATTGTAGATACATGGTAGAAACCAGATTGGTGAAGGTAAGGGATTATGACTGCATGTGGCTTTAGAGGTTTGTGAGCACGAATTCTCCATTTTGAAATATAAGTATCATCAATTTGTAATAGAAATAAGTAATATAGAAAAATATTCAACATTTCTATGCAAATTATGAATAAAACTAATATTGTAAACTCAAAAATAAATAATATGAATAATATTGAACAAATCATAAATACTTACAGCATTGATATTTTCGGTTCCCCTATATTGTGTACCATACCAAAACATATTGGTCATAATTGTGAAAATGAAGAACTGATTGAAGACTTTGGTCATAATTGTGAAAATGAAGAACTGATTGAAGACTTAACAAAAGAGAGTAGAGAGTGTGTAGTGAATAGAATGTAGTGTGTTTGTGGAAAAATTAGGTGAGAGTGATTGAGTATTTATTGGAAAAATGAGAGTTGGTAGGTGAATAATTTAATTAATTATGGTTGATAGGTAGTAGAGTAATTTAATTAGAGTTGGTAGGTAGTAGACATATTATTGCTCATATTCATACGACTTATGGCTACACCGTGTCTTACAAAAAAGCATGGATTGCAAAGAACAAAGCAATCGAAGATATTTATGGCAATTGGGAGGACTCTTACAACAACCTTCCGCAGTGGTTTCTAGTCATGCAACAATTTCTCCCAGGTACCGTCATAGATCTTGAAACACTTCCTGTATATTCAAATGAAGGAACACAAATTGGTGGTGCAAGAATTTTCCATTGCAGGTAGATGGTACATGGTTGTATGGAAAATATAGGGGAACATTGCTCCTGGCTGTTGCACAAGATGGGAATGGTAACATTTTCCCAATCGCATATGCATTGGTCGAAGGTGAGACCGGGGTCTTGGAGTTTCTTTCTGAAAAATTTGAGACTTCACGTCACACCCCAATCAGACTTATGTTTGATATCTAATCGACATGAGTCCATTAAGAGTGCCTACAATAACCCGGATAATGGCTGGAAGAACCCACCTTCGATGCATGTGTATTGCATTAGACATATCGCACAAAACTTCATGCGAGCCATCAAGGACAAAAACCTTCGCAAGACAGTTGTTAACATGGGTAATTACTCTCTAATTTTTAACACGGCATTTCAATATACAGTTCTTTTATATTAATGTTTTTAATGCTTTTACGCGGGGTACTCAATTAATGAGTCTACATACGCATATTACCGGGAGGAGATCCGCCAAACAAACACAGAGGCTTTTAATTGGATAGAGAACCTTCCAAGAGAAAAATGGTCGCGAGCTTACGACGGAGGAGCACGTTGGGGTCACATGACAACCAACCTTGCAGAATCTTTGAACTCAGTATTGAAGGAAACCCGAAACTTACCTATTACATCACTTGTAAGATCAACATACTACAGGATGGGAACATTGTGGGGTAAGCGAGGAAAGGATTGGACAAAAAATTTGTCATCGGGAAAGGAGTTCACAGATAACTGCATGAAAGGAATTGCAGAAGAAGTAGAAAAATCTCACAGTTATAATGTCTTGGCTTTTGACCGTGAAAGTCACTATTTCGTGGTTCAAGAGACGGTTAATAATAGGAATTGTCGGCCACTTACCCATTTCAACGTCAACCTCCAAACACGAACTTGTGACTGTGGGAGATTTCAAACTTTTCATCTGCCTTGCTCACATGCTATCGCAGCGTGTTCTCACATTAACCACGACTATACTACGTTTATTCCTGACTTGTATAGAGTTATAAACGTCTTCAAAGTTTACATACAAAGTTTCCTCGGTGTTCCCCAAGAAGATAGTTGGCCTCCATATTTGGGCGATACTCTTTTGCATGATGAAAGAATGCGACGAAACAAAAAAGGTCGCCCAAACAGTACTCGCATTAGAACTGAAATGGACACTGTTAATAAAAAGACGATGCGGTATCTGTCAACAACCACATATGCGGAAGAAATATCTGCATTGCCTCAACAATGCAGACCCTTCCAACTAATTTTATCTATATATTGTTATTTATAACTACTTTTAACTGTATTTTTTTATTTAGCATTTTGATTGTAATTGTGATATTTTATTATTTAATAAAAAAAAAATTATTATTACATTGTAATTGTTAAATAGTTATTTTAAGTTTTTAAATTAATATTTTATTAATTAATTTTATAACTAAATAGTTTATTAAATTATTTGTAATTAATAAAAAAATTAAATAATTAAAATTATTAATATAAATAATAAAAATGTAAGAAAACGAAGAAAAAAAATTAAGCAGGCCTTTTACGCCATTTGATTTGGCGTGAGTCCTTGCTGTCCACATTCGCGCCATTTCAAATGGCGTAAATCCCCTCCTGAATATGGCATCTTGGGCAATTTTTTTTTTTCAGACGGTGGCATTTTGAAGAAAAAAATTCGTGGATGTCACATGTTGAGAAAAAATTCTCACGCTGATGTCTTACAACAGATGACTGCGGACGGAACGTTGATAGTGACTTTTTTTTGGATAAAGAATTTATATCGCCTACTTTACAATTTCAATTCCAAATAACTTGTTAATCTACCCTCTCCACGTCTGACAAGTGGCAGTGGAAAAAGGATTCTTTTTCTCTCTCTTAACATGTAGCATTTGGTAAATTTACTAGTGGAGAGGAGACCATATTTTTTTGTCTTTTTGTATAAGCTAGCATTCTATACATGGAGTTTGCAATTTGAATTAGAGAGGATTGACTTTGGAACAACAGTATAATTAAATACTTTTTCAATAATATATTCAAATATTTAGTTATAATATATTTGTAATAACTTATTTAAGCTAATTGATTTTTTATAAACATGTTATTAGTTATTTTTAAAAGTGTATCATATTATTTATGAGATAAATTTATCAAATAAATATGCATTTTATTTGTAAATATGTTTTATTTTATTTTTAAATTCCTAAAATTTTGTCTATTTTGACACAATTATTATTAATTCATTGTGACCGTTGTTATTTCTCTATTGGATAGAATATATAACATGATTAAAATAATGAAAAGGCTACAAAAAATATTTAAGTTTTCTTTTATGTATTTGTTATTTAATTTCCTGCTATTCTTTTATTTTTATCACAAACAACATAATCTATTCACAAACAACATAATCTATTCACAAACAATATATAATCTTGCAATATCCACAGCATTCTAGTATACTCATCAACAAATATACCTCACAGAATCCACAAATATAAGACAAACCAAGGTCAAACATTAACAAACTATACAAGCTATCCTATTTTCACCCCCTAATTCTATTATTTTGCTTTATCATTTTTTAATCTTTTAAGTTATCATGTTGATGACAATGACATATCTATTCATATCAGAGTAAGAACAGAAGGACCAATGTTGCAACCCATTATATGAAGAACATGGATGTAACCATATAACTGACTTTGTGGTGCTTAATGCAAATGTATTTAAACAATATTTCCACTTAAATATTTATAGACACTGATGAGAGTCACAGAAAGGTAAATACTTAGAGTACACTAAAAATTCATGGCTAAGGAAAAAAAAGCCCTAATGATTAGTCTACAACCAAATGTAATACATATGTAACCACTAACATAGTCATTCACCAAGAGGAAAAATGAAACCCCCGGAGAAAGGTACACTTCATGAAAAACAAACAAGTTCCTGAATGCACCATACTTCTCAGTCTAATCCTGCAAAAGAAAAAGTAATGAAACATCAGATACATTATTACCAACAGAAGGATATGAGAGCGCAAAAAAGCAGAGCAAAGATGAGCATAAACAGATCATATAAAACTCCATGACCATATCTTGTTGCACATAAACAGTTCATATAAAACTCCATGACCATATCATGTTGCATTTATTCTCCTCAGTTAGTTAATCTATAATGGATCTCATTCAGTTATGATGCCTGTTGTTCATTTCCTCCTGGGCAAGAAAATCTTAAAAGATTGATGATTAATTTATACCTCTTCCATTTGAGTACTATCAGTATTTGTCTGCTCTTGTGTATCAGTAGATTCAGCAAGGACTGCATCTTCATGTTTTTCATTGACATTATCAGTCATCATATTATCAGTCAAGCTTTTTAGATCTGCAGGAAGTTGCCCAGACTTCAGTGCCTGTAGACATGAAACTCGATTAGATGACATAATTGGTTATTTTTGTAGAAATTTTTATTAAAAAGATACAATAAAATAACCAAGTGAATGTCATAACAAAGAACACAAGACACACTAGTAGCAAGAACTTCAAATTTTCCCCGGTATTTCCCAAACGACCAGATCAATGCATGACAAACCAAATCTCATCCTCCCCATATGGCGAAAAATCCAGTTTACATAATCTAAGCTAACCTAAGCTAACAGAAAAAACTGAGATTGTGTTTGAGCCCCAATGATACACAATTTCACAGGAAGAAATGATTATGCAATTTAGAAAAGCGGGTACCTTTTCAAGTCTAGCAACCTCTTCGAGAGTCTGTGAGTTGACAATAGCAGCCTGCACACAGAAGAAACATGTAAAACCACAGGCAATCCAAAAATAGCTGTTTGACGTACCAGCCTCTAAGAGATGGTAACTATAGTTCAGAAAGATGGTAACTAAAGTTCAGAAAGATGGCCATATGATATAATTCAGAACAAAGTGATTCCTTAGCTCAAGGAAATATCAAACAGGCATGTAAGATAATTTCAAAAGAAAACTGTTTAGTGTTATATTGACACATATTTATATACTATGTATAGCTGACTCGGTCATCCTAGATTATAACTGGAAGGTTGCAGTAGGTTCTACTGCTGTTAGTTATAGCTTTCATATTGGTTAGATTGGTACTTAACTAAAAATTAAAAGTTACCGTTGTCTTGATTGTTTGAGTTCTCTAATTGACTCATCACAGTTGAAAGTTGAAACCAATGACTTTCTCAATCAATAAAACTTTCAGATTCACAAATTATCAGTTTTCTCTTTTATTCTCTCACTCTTGATTCTACCTCCCAGTTTTCTTTCAAATTTAAAGTCTCACTGCTAACCAATAAAGAGTTAATCACACGAGCTGGTGAAACAGAAAGCATACGCATCTTAAATTATAACTCTAACTTATAGGATAATGAGTTACACTTACAAAATAAGCCACCCTCAAATGCATATAATATAAAGGTCTTGTGATGTATTTCTTAACTGACAAACAGAAAGCATAAATCATCATCAATTTAATGGAGATCCATGGTATTTACAAAAAGGAACTCCTCAAGACTAACTGGACTGATGTTTTTTTCTTTAATGGTTGATGGATAATGAATAGCTATAGTTATATAAATATTCATCTTTGAAACAAGAATTAAAGTAGCAAGAACTAAAAGTAGAAGAGTAGCAAGAATTAAAGTAGAAGAATAATTGCTTCAGGCCAAGCCTTGCATTGACACTGGTATTTGATTGGTTTGTCGCAACAGATGAGAAGTGGTAATATCACAAGATATAGTTTGGACTCCTTATTGTTGTACATGCCATTGCGGCCTACGGCTCTGCCACGGACCATGGCGACGTCCCTTTACAAATTCCCTATGGTGGTTGGCCAAAAATCCACCACGTCATGGCAGAATGGCAGCACCATGGCCACCATTTAACAACACTAGTGACTAGTTCTTTATGCAAAAGTTTCCTATATCATTTTATATGTGCTGTATTGGATCAGTGCTGTACTACATATCTCAGCTACATGGATTGTTTGTTACATCATAAAGTGTTGCTATAATTTGGAGCAGTTTTTAATGGTTTGCCATGAAGTTATGGGTTAAAGGCTTAAAGCAAGCAGGGAATCTCCTCATCTACTACAAGTCTACAATTTTTTAAGCTACGTACGCAATACATAAAAAGGAAAATACAAAAATTATAGATCTGAATTCTGAATTGAACACATGTATATGCCACATAGTCAACCCATTTAGTGATATGATAAACCTATTTACAAATTGACTAGTAGTCATACCTTAATAGCAATAATTTGCTCTGGAGTAGGAGCTGTCACTTTGGGTATCTGTTGTTCCTCCGTAGCTTCTGAAACTTCTGAAGATTCAACAGGTGAAACCGGTTTCGCTGGTGTCCTTTGAGCTTCTTCTATAACTTCCTTTGATTCAAACAAATTTTTGGCTTCTAATCGTTCCTATTAAATTTTTAAAAACCATCAAACAAATGAAATACAGATGAAGAGGATGAGTGATTGGTAACAAGATATAATTTCAATAATATCCCATAATTTCCCTTTTTTAACACTGCAACCTCTAATAATGTGATGAAACAAACTTCATGCATCCACAAATATAATTTTAAGAAAAATATTGTCTGCACCCAAGATCAGGTTTGTATTTCAAATCATTTAGTCTATCAAAGCTGAGTAAATCAAGGACAAAGCCGGTCTAGTAAAAAAAGCAGTCTATCCGCTATAATTATCTGCAGTAAAATTTCTACAACTCGGTCTTGGTATTAAGAGCCAAGGGTATGCTTTAAAATGAAAATATATTCATTCAAATTAATTTTCAGAACAACCTATATATTATAATTCAAACAACAAGCCAGAGAAAAGATAAAAATGGGTAGTGGCAAAGAAAATCTTACCTTATTTTTAACTTTCTTGAAGTCCAAAACCCGGAGGGACTTCAGCTTGTGGATAACATAAAGCCTATAATTCACTTTTTTAGTAATATTGTTGTCTAGAAGACTAAGGAACTGCAGCTTTGGAAGGGATGTCAAAGGATCAATTTCTACTAAGTTTACAATCCTGTTGTTTGTGAGAACTAGTGTGTGTAAATTCGGTAGGAACTCTGAAATACAAATAGCATAGTAAGGTAGAGTTACACATGTAACACATCTAGTTGCTTACAGCTAGAAGCAAGATGGGATAAAGAGAAAGGATGAGATATAAACAAGGTTCAACTCATACCTCCAATATTAGGATTAATTCTAGTAATCCTGTTGTTATTGATAAGTAATGTACCCAATCGGTTAAGAAATGGTACGTTTTCTAATTTGACAATCTCATTGTCAGACAAATCTACGGTGTCAAATTGGTCCTGAGAGGAATCCATTACGAAAGAACTCAAATTCATGAAAGCTCAACAATATAAGTAGTTAAAAGGAATGCAAGAAGATAAGACTGCACACCTCTGTTGCACCTAAGTTTTCGATTACAGATATTTTATTGCCTGCAAACAATATAACAATATGACAAGCTTGCTCTTAATAGAGAACGGAAAACATAGATTTGTTTGCCAAGGAAAAGCAACAAAAATGAGTGAAAACACGAGGGAAATAGGAATACCTCGAAGATCTAACTCGCGCTCCTTAATGGTATTGAAGAAATGAGGGCTTTTCCAGATCAGGTCAGCGGTGAGCCTCACCATCTCCCTATGTTGTCATTAAGAAACAGATAGTTACTATGAGAATGATGACATTGGATACTGAGCAACGAGATTATGCTCGTTCGAACTACAAAGTCGAGCTAGGAGCACAAGCTAGCCTGCTCGTTTAAGCCCTCCAATCAAGGACCATTGGATGATGGCCAGGGACGGGTGGTTCACAAATGTGAATGCCCTAACTGCGAGCCAATCAGCCACCCCGCAGCCTATGATACATAGGTATGGGTACGGTACCCAAAGTGATACCCGTACCCGCACCGTGGTACGGGTATCACGGGATACATTACTGTAAAATGTTAGTAGAGAACTAAATTGTTAGATTCACAACAGCGTAGAAGTTTGAAAAAACTGAAAATAATGTTAAGAATTATCCTTTCAGTGCCATTTTGAGAGAGAAACATGAAAACAAAGCATGATAAATTCAGTCATAAGTGAAGCTTGAAATTCGAAAAATACTCACAGGCAGAGTGCAGCAGACGGAGGAACTGGAACGACGGAGGAAGTCGCCGGAAGGAGCCACCGGTGAAATGGAGAGGGAAAACGAAAACCTAATGCAATGTCATATGAATCAAAAGTGTAAACGGGCCGGGCTATATTTTAACGGGCTTTCTAAAAGATTCATAAACACCTCCCTCTTAGACTTTCTACTCCCACAAAACCTTATTAGATTAATAATTTACCTTAACAACTTTTAAATATTTGTTTTTTGAAACATTTTAAAATATATTTATTTTATTCTGTACTTCAAATTTTTAATTTATATTATTTTAATAGTTATAATTTGAGTTTATAATTATATTTTGTCAAAAAATAAATAAACAAATAGATATTTTTACTTTTTCTTCTAAATATGGAGATCTTTGAAAATATGGGGATAAATTTACAACTTTTATTTATCTAGCCTAATAGGTATTATACAAAATCATTCAATCAAATTTGTAGAAATATTTAATAATATTTATAAAGAATGGTATAATATTTTAAGATTGATTTGACATACAAACATCGTTTTTTTAAAAGAGAAAAACAAAAAAAAAAAAGAGTTGTGAATCACAATTTTAAAAGAGATAATTAAAGTGTGATTGGTAAAAAAGTATTGAGTCTTTGGTAAGTACCATAAAAAAACAAGTGAATTATATAATTCAAGTTAAGCCTTTAATAAAGATAGCGGAGATTTTTTTATTCTTTAAATGAAATTAGTAAATTAGAATTCCATATTAATATGATTTTAAATTTAATGGCATTAAATCAAAATCTCGTTATATTATTTCATTCGTACCAAAGACATTAAATTAGAATGTCTTAATCATGTTTCAAAATGACATAAAATATACACAGATACAACTACAAAAACACATATAAAATATCATTAATCATATTTCAAAATAACATAAGATGTAACAGGAGTGCAATGTAGCTTCTCCCTAGTTGTCTTCGCTTGAGTTTTTAATTATCAGATACGATTTATCCTTCATCCTAATAGGTGCATAGGCTTTAGAGCTATATCCCATCAGTAACACTTCATGATTAAGCCTCCTTGAACATATGTATGGACATGATACTCCTCTAACATATGTTTGCATATATACTACATTTATAGCAACTGCATAAGTCATTTTTTACAAGAATGGCAACAATCTGGTATTCGTTAAGGGAAACAACACTAAAATTTGACACTGATGCAACAATCTTTACCTTGTCAAATTTGCAAGCACCTTTATCAGCTCTAGCAGAAGGATATTCTTTCTCTCGCATGACTCCACCAAATATTTTAGAATGTACTCAAATGTATAATTCATCAATCCATTGTTGCAACCAGAGTCGCAAGAACTCGCCTCTTTTGGATCACACTGCACATGAGAGTGTGTTATACCCTAAAATTTACCCTCTCATTTATCAAGACTTTTCTCACAAGATCTCTTTGACTCAAGACTGGATTAGGGTTTGATCAGCTCAAGACATCTCATCATGCACTGATAAACCAAAATTAGGGTTTGGGATTGCACAAAGATTTTTGAACTATCAATGATTCATATGACTTTCAAGTATCATTATAGACCCTTAAGATTACTCATGTCAAGTTTCAAGCCTTGAATCACATTTTTGATCAGTCAATTGGACAGTTGACCTAAAAATCAGTTGTATTGAGGAAAAAGTCAACCATGGCCAATTTACAGTCAAACTTCATAATTTTTTATCCACATCAACCTTTTAGACTCACATGTATCATTTGATCAAGTTTGGACCATAATTCCTCAAGAAATTTGATCAAATCATCAAAATGGCAAAATGGTCAAAATTAGGGTTTTGGCTGAGAAAGGGCAATTTCTGATTTTTGACCTAGCAAATGACCAATTGATTTGAAGCATGATTTCAAGGGTTCAATTGGATCATCTTGACCTAGTGACATGGTTCAAAATATTGCAATTCCATTGGATTGACAGATAAATTTTGCAGTCAACTAATCAAAAGTCAACTGTATACTGAAAAGTCAAACTTTGACTTTTTGGTCAAAATCAAATGCCAAGGATCAGAATTCATCAAAACATGTCAAAATGTGAAACTTGTTCATCAAGAAATCAAAGATTGAAGATTTTGTTTTGAAATTTGAAATTTCTTAACTTAGAAATTTTTCTAAGTATAGAAAATTTCTTATTTTTTCTCAATTTTAAGCCAAATTTTCACCATGATACAAGATGATTCAAAGAAAGTTCCCAATATGAAATTTGTAGATCTCCCTGAATTCTAAAACTTTTCTTCCCACAATTTCTCCTAAAGATACTTGGATCTCATGATATAATTTTGTGAATACATGCCCATGAACTAAAATAACTTAGTGAAATTTTGCGCTAATTTAGGCAGGTTTTTGACCTAACTGCATGGCAACTTTTCACCTAGTTCCAAGAGGAATCTTGAAAAGTAATTCAAAGATGAGTTATAGAGAACATTGCAAGCTTTCCAAAATTTTGAAGAACTCCTTGAGATCATTTTTGAGTAGGGAGAATCGAAGAGATGAAGTTGGCAATTTCTCACATTGATTTCAAGTCATTTCATGATGAACCAAAATTCAAATCCAAACCTAGGCTGCATAATCCTTGCTTTATAGGTCTCAAACTTGTTTCTCACTCTATAATTTAATGCTTACACAGTTCATAAAGCTTTAATCCAAGCATGAGAGCTTTTGTCTAAGCTTTAATTCCATAAATGGCACAAAGTTGTCATTTCCATTTTAGAAAAGCACAACTTTGCATTTATCAACTCCTTGAGCTTTGTACCTGTTCCTTCTGCACACACAAGTCCTATAAACCAAAAGCAAAGTGCCTAAGACTTGTACCAACTCAGATCAGGCTTGTACAAGCATGTAGAGAGTTGTCTCCTCACTTTTCTTAAAAGGCAAGCAATAGAGCAAAAAGTCTATAGCTCATAAGCCTGGTGTGGAATTGAATTGAAACCTTTTATATACTTATACACAAACATATTACAACCTAAGACACGATTGAAAAATCTCAGAAACTCTCCCAAACTCTCTATCACCAAAAATATGCCATAACTTGCAGTTTTGCATCAAGCATAGCAATCTCAAAATCTACTCGTGTGTTTCAAGTTCTAATCACCTAAACACTTAACTTATATCATATCTAAGTGTTCCAGACCATCATCCCTTCACTGTAACTCCTCCTTCTCCATCTGCCATTTTTGCATTTCAAGCTTGCAGGTTGACTTGGGTAGGAAGATTCAGACACTTTCAAGGCAAGGTAAGGATTGGAACACACTCAGGGAGGTCCAGGCAAGCTAAAGAGATCCTCGGGCCTTCTCAAAACTCACTCAAACTCCATTCACGATCTCAGCTGAAAGAGGTAAGAACTCTAACTTCTATCTCTTCATACAATCATCCTTGGGTCTCAATTTGTGAAAATAAAATGTAGATATCCTTGTGCTAAAGCCAACCATGTTCATAGATTTCATTTATATTCATTGTGTATAGAGAATTTTAGATTTCAAATTTCTGTAAAAATTAGGTTTGAAATTAGGGCCAATGAAATTAGCTTTGATCTTTAACTGTTAGTTTACATGAGTTACATGGTTGAAATCGTGGGAAAGAATACTATCATTTTCATGTTTGAAGTTTCCATTTTCATGGAGAAATGAGAGAGATATGGGTGGTCCGGCTGGCTAGAGGAAGAAGACAAAGTACAGGGCAAAGAAGGGATTCATGTTATGTATTTTTGTTTTCATTTGAACTAACGGATGTACAGCCACCCCAGTGGTAAGGCAGTGCGCAAAAATGCTTAAGGTCACAGGTTCGAGCCTTGACGCTGCCTTTTTGCATTTTTCACATTTTTTTCATTTTTTTTTACTTGTTTGCAGCGTGGGCTCAGCACATATGGGCCTCTTTTTTTTTTCTATCATCCACTCCTTTTTCTTAACAGCACCCATGGCCCATACATTTTATTATTTATTTTTATTTTCATTTCCATTTTATTAAATATATTTTCCTTAACATAAAAAATCATAAAAAATATAAAACATGATAAATGTTACATTTTGTTTAAAATATTTTATTTTCTCATAAAAAATATTTTTATTAAATTATATATTAACTATTTTTCTTAAATAAACTTGTAAAATAAAATAGAATTCGGTTAATATTTATTTCTTTTCTCTCACAATTGTAAATATTTATTATAATGTATAAAGGGACTAAAATATTTCATAAAATATTATTTTATTATTTTTAAGACAAAAATACACAAAAATAATACTTAAAGAACTTTATTTTCTTTTAACAAATTAGAATTAGGGTTAACCAATTTCTAAAAATAATTTCCTTTTCTTAAATTATTAGGTTTAGTTTAAAACTCTTTTTTTCACATAAAAAAAAACAAAACAAAAATCTTTTTTCTTGCATATACATACCATTGCATATTTAATTTATATTATATATTATTTATTCAAATATTTGTACAAATTTGATTTGGTTGTAATAGATTAAATTAGTTTTACATTATTGCAAATCCCCATTCATAAATTGTATACCCCCTCCCATAAAATGTTGTAATAGCGTAGCAATTTTTAAATTACGCAATTTATCACGATTACATAACATGCTAGTAATTAGGGTTTGTATGGCAAGATAAAACAATAAAATAGAAAACCCTAATCTAAGACAAAATCAAGCATGAAAATAACACACTTGCACACAAGCACCCTTAGGGTTACTCCACTCGGTTGCCTTATACAAAAATGGTCATATTACGCATGCGAAGTATCTTAGAAAAACAAACAAGTATAAGATCATAGTCCCTCGATGACGCTATTTAAAGTTGCCTTACAAAATGATCTTAGTCCCTCAAAAATGCTAAGATACTTTGCAACATTGCTAATCATGGTTATACGATGACCCACGCTCGTCCTGTTTACATCCAAAGATATGGTTGCTTACCAAATTAATGGTAAGACAACAATATCAAAGGAAAATAAAATGAACAAGAAAGACATTTGAGTAGGTAGATTACTTCTAGTTACTTGCTCCATTTCAAACAACTATCCTTGCTATTTTTTAAAAAATAAACACACACACATTTTCAAACATCTTATAAACATTGGAAACATTTTCAAAAAGACAAACATCTTTGTATACATTCTTACGAACGAGAATCATTACAAAGATTGCCTAAACAATAGCCTCTTTTACAAAATACTTTCAAAACCACACAAAGCACAATTTCAAAACAAAAGCAAGTAACTAAGAGCCCATGGAAAACCATGGATCAAAAGGGTGCTAATACCTTCCCTTTTCATAATCTACCCCCCAAACTCAAGAAACAATCTCAAAGGTCTTTCCTGTGCTTTTTCACCTTTCCTTTTGGATAAAAGAAAAGTCGGTGGCGACTCTTGCTAACTGCAACATTTGCGATAAAACGTGAAACCCTTAAGTCAGTTCTCCCACCGTATCACAGAACTGGCGACTCTGCTGGGGAAATTCTAAAAGTGGGGTTACCTTAGGGCTAAGATCACATTTATTTGCTTACATTGTTTGACTTATATGCTTTATATTATGGTTCTTTGTTTAGGTTTGAAATCCTCTACCCGAATTTTGGATACATTATAGGTAAATAGAAATACATTGTGCAAACTGTGCGGGGTAAACCGACATGGTCTAAGCAATAGTTATGTTAGTGCGACATATTTGTGGGTATCGGTAGCCTTTGAGTTAATCAAAGAGAATACGGGGCCGCTGAGTGATGTCATGAAGCACTAATGAACTTCTAGAACCTTTACTTGACCAACTTGGCCTTTAGGATGTAGTGAGATGACCGACTTTGGTGCAGTCCGAAGTTGGTAGATACTTGATACTACACTCATTGAGGTCTGGTTTCTTGGGATATTTCGGTCGCCATTAAAGAGGCTTGAGCTGAAATAATGACCAAGGAAACAATTCTGTGATATTGAGCTCCTTAGAACCCCGGTTATTATTACTAGGACAGGTTTAAACCAACTAAACTTCAAGAGGGTACTTACCTATAAAACTCCATGCAAGCCAAAACTAAGAACTTGTTTGCTTTGCTTGTATATGCATACTTGTATATAATATCATGGACATCATGAACATCACATACATCCACTAACCATTTCAAGGATTTTTGAGATTCATCTTTGTTCTTGTTTTGTAGGATATGGATTCACTTCGTAGGAAAATTATTCAAGTCAACCTTGTAAGAATTCTTCCACAACTTAAGGAGCTAGCTTCAAGG